GATATGTTGTTCCATGTGGGCTTTGTTGCTTCTGAGCTAGATGGCCGCTTGTTTACCTTCAAGCTTTTAAGACCCCAGACGCTATATCTTTTGAAGCTGGATTTTCTCCACCAACTTTTTAGCTACTGTGTCTCCCTGAAAGTAAGACATCCCCCGAAAATAAGACCCACTTACAGTTTTGCCTCTCCCTGAAATATAAGGCATCCCCAGAAAATAAGACCTCCCCGAACATAAGGCCTCCCGATAATAAGCCCCGCCCCCCAAAGCTACCGTAACTCTGGACTGGACCATAGCAGCAGGCACCACTGCGCAGCTCACTGTTGGCCGCAGCACAGCTGGAGCAGACAGGAAGTGCGAGTAAATGTACCATAGATTGTTGTACATGGAAATAATGGTAGCAACAAGAAATTCTTGATACCGTAGGATTCACAGTTTGTCTGGTTATGTTGGTTTGTGATGACAACTACTACTGTACCGCATACAGGTAATAAATTTCCTTTTTTTGTTGTTCAACAATAAATGTGTACCGTATTCTTCTTCATGAAAAAATAAGATATCCCCTGAAAATAAGACCTAGCACATCTTTGGGAGCAAAAATTAATATAAGACACTGTCTTATTTTCGGGGAAACAGGGTAAAAGGCAAGTGCTTCACTGTTGTCCTACCCATAGACGGCTTTCATGCTCATTCACCCACTCACAGCCATCGAGTGGATTCTGATTGCTAGCGACCCTAGAAGACAGGGTGGGACTGCCCCGGTGGGTTTCCAAACTGCAGCTCCTTATGGAGGTAGAAAGCTGCCTCATTGTCTATCCTGCAGAGTGGCTGGTGGTTTCGAACCATGACACCACCAGGGTTCTTAATGTTCATGAGATCCCCATTTTTGTAGATGATAACTCTCTCACCACCACCATCCCCAAATCTGAAGTGCACTGCCATTGAGTAGATTCCATCTCAGAAAGACCTTACAAGGACAGAGTAGTCCTGCTCCCGAGGGTTTCACTTACCAGAGTCAACAGCGCATAGTCCTCCCTTGGAGCAGATTGTGGATTTGAACCACCAACCTTGAAGATAGCAGCCTAATGTTTAACCCACTGTGCCAACATTCTCCAAATGATAAAATAGCAACAGGAAAATAGATCATTTATCCAAAGTCATAGAGGTTGCTCATAAATACAATGGAGTGATAACCTTTTTGCAATACTTCTTGAAGATGAACCGTTTCTATACAAAAGACATCATGGTTTTAATATAATTGGATGTGACTATTGTGACCTGCTTACATACAAAGAGTTTACCAAAAGTGGTGTTGGTGGTCATCTGTGCTCAGTGTGGGGTATCATGAAGAAAGGGCCACCTGCTAATGCCAAGGGAGGGTCCCTCACAGTTGAATCACTGAAAAGAAGAGTCAGGAAGATTCAAAACAAAATGGTCCAGGTCTTAAGATAAAATCTACTAATATAAATAAATAAAACTGTATCTGAAGCTGCTAATAATAATAATAATAACAGCCTATCATTAAGAAACTCTCCACTAGACAATGGACAGTGTAAGACATGAAAATATAATAATTTATAAATTATCAAGGGTTTGGGAGGGAGAGAGGGTTGGGGGGAGGGAAAAAATGAGCTGATACCAAGGGCTCAAGTAGAAAGAAAATGTTTTGAAAACGATGATGGCAACAAATGTACAAATATGCTTGACACAATGGATGCATGTGTGTATTGTGATAAGAGTTGTGTGAGCCCCCAATAAAATGATTTTCTTAGAAAAGAAAGTCTCCACTTTTAAACAACATAACAAAGCAATGCTGGCTTTTAAATATTTAACAGATAGTTTATCTGTAATTATCCTTCGATGAACACGGCACACATTTTGCCCACAAGGTGGCAGTAGATTCACATATGGTAGTTGACTTTGACTTTCTATAGTTAAAACTTTAGGTTCGAGGACCTAATGTCGGGGGTTTAAGTGGAGAGAAAATGTTTTGAGAATGATGTACAAATGCGCTTTACACAATTGATGTGTGTATGGATTGCGATAACAGTTGTATGAGCCCCTAATAAAATGTTTTAATAAATAAATAATTTTAGAGAAAACAAAAAAAACTTTAGGTTCTGGATGTCAGATTTACGTCCATAGAATAAATATTTTTATAAAATATGTTGGGATTTTTTAATAAATGTAGGAGAGGTCAAATGTGAGTATAACTTTCATAGAATTCCCTCCTGCTTGCTTTACCACTATCCTCTCCCTGCTTCTCTCCCCAATTCAGCAGCTGGTACCAAAGAATCTCTTTCTCTTTAACCCTCTGTGTAAGTTTTTCCTCTCAGAGCAAATTCTGATAGATCGCATTCAGTGCTGTTCTAATCCCACCAAGTATCTGAAAACGACTGGGTCTTTCCACGCTCCTAAAGAGTTACAGTCTTGGAAACCCACAGGAGCAATTCCAGCCTAGCCTATTGGATCTCTGGGTGAGTTTGTCTGTTTTTGTTTGTTTGTTTGTTTGTTTCACTGACTCGAATGGTTCCAGAGGAGTGAAGACTCTCTAGGGTGTAACCTGAGTGTATCAGAGTAGCACCGCTACTTTTCCCATCCTGCAAGGTCTACCCACAGAAACAGAGAAGGAAAGCCAAGTTCGACAGGGGGCCAGACATTGTGTCTGAGCTGTCCCCTAGAAATGTCAGGGCAGAGTACCGCCTGTCCTTCAGTTCATCCACCGTTGTTAAGCACCATCGCCATATAAACAGGATTCACAAATACCCTCTGAAAAGAAACCTTAAGAAAAATACGTTCAGGACTCCTGTCTTATAATATTTCTGTTAGAAGGCATCTCAATACCTTAAATCAGACTGGACTCAACCAACAGAGAGAGGGTGCTTTGTTTTGCTTCGCTAAGTGCTAAAATGTGATTTAGGCTCAGAAACTCAGAAGATCAGACATCTTTGGCAACTGCAAAGGGGCGGCGGGGGGAAGCTGTTATTTCTATATTTTATCTTCCATGTCAGAGCCTTCTCAGTAAGAAACACATACTATGCTGTGTTCCAGGATGCTGTTGTTGGCTAACACAACAGTTGATTCGGACTCGTGGTGACCCCAAGCAGAACTGTGCAACACAGGCCTGTCAAGCCTGTGCCCTCTGCATGGGTTTGCATTGCCAACTTCCCTGCCAGGAGTCAGATGCTTAAGACATTTTATAAAATAATACTTCACTATTGCAGTGTACATGCAATGTACTCTGATCTTTCTGTGTGAGTCTATTTTAACCTATGAAATAACCTGTCCGTTGTGACCCCCTAAATTAGTGTCATGACCCACTAATGAATTACAAACCACAGTGCTCTGTCCTCCAACTCTGATTAGTTGAGGTGAGCATGAGGTAAATTGTGACCATGCTGAATGCCTTCAAAGTGGGTGGGTTGTTGGCCAGAGTTGCCCTTATCAAGTGGGCCTTTGAGAGCCAAAACCTTTGGCTTCTGCACAGTACAGGTGTGCCCAATTCTACTGTCGTACTGAGAGGACTTCAGACCGTGCCTTGACATTTTAGTTTCTTTGCTATGTGGATAGAAAAATCCTTTTCGTAGAGATGAATGGGCATTTTCTGAGTGAGATAAGACATGTCCAGAGGGGGCATAGAAGCCACAGATGGGCATAAAAGGAGGTCTTGAAAAGGTATTTTAGTCATATACATACATATTTTAAGACAAGAAGATTTAATTAATTTGGTGGTGCAGAAAGTTGAGTGCTTACTGCTTGCCTAAACCTTGGCAGTGTGAACTCAAAGATAAATTGGAAAAGAGACTTCGTGGACCTGCTTCTGAAGGCCCCACTTGAAAACAGTCTCCTGTTTGGAATGCAGCCCCACGCTACACACACAGGGTCACCTCGAGTCAGAATTGACTTAACGGCAAATTCCAAGAGCAGAGCTGTGGACACTGGTGTCCCAATCCCGTGTCCCACAGGATGGCATTGTGTCTCTCCAGCCAAGGATGGGTTCTTTCCTGCTGAGCCTTCCTTCACAGTAGCCTAATAAGAACCCCATCAGAAGCCGGATACAAGGGTTCACTTACCGCCTCGCTGACCATTGACCCCCAGGGTTATCCATTCTGTGCCAAAGGAAACAGAAAACGGGTGCGTGAGTCCAGAGCTAGACTTCATACCCCTTTGACAAGAGGAGGGAACTAGGAAATGATGGGGAAGTAGCTTTCCTTTGTGTTTGTACTCCTATACAGATCAACACATCATTACTCCGATCATCAGCGCTCCACACAAACCTGGGGGAGTGGAAGCGCTGCAGAAGGACAAAAGGTTCCTGAGAACAAAGCCCTGCTCTGTTCTGCCCTGGCCCCAGATTCCCTCGTGCCCACATTCCAGACCTGAAAGAGCGAAGTGCTTCAGGAGAGGGCACACAGCCTTTCTGGTGTGCACTGACCTGCTATTCCCACAGCCCTCCCACCGAGGTAGAGGAACAATTTTCTTACAGTCTGTATCTGGCAGCATAAGAAAAAAATAACACAGTAGGACTGCTTTAAAGTATGTCGTTGACTTTCCGTGGCCAGTCTCCTAAGTAGTGTTCATGAATCTGTAAAGATCGAAAAATGAGGACCTAATGCCGGGGGCTTGGGTAGAAAGTGGATGTTTTGAGAATGATGAGGGCAATGAATGTACAGATGCGCTTTACACAATTGATGTATGTATGGATTGTGATAAGAGTTGTATGAGCCCCTAACAAAATGATTAGAAAAAAAAAAGATCGATTTCCTTGTGTGTAGGTGTGGGCAGTGTAGTTTGTGGATGTGAGTGTGTGTGTGTGTGTGTGTGTGTGTGTGTGTGTTGGTGCAATCATGAGGCACCATTGTATATGTAATGACTATTTCCCTGCAGAGTTTAAGTTGAGTACCATTTCTCATTAGGTGGCTTCTGTGTGTGTGTAAGCATTTGTTGACTTGTGCATTTATGTGTGTGGCACATCTTCGGTTAATGCCCTTGTGGGCATCTTCATTTCCCTTGACCTTCACATCTCTTGAGAGACCTTTTCTCCAAGTCTGAACCCCTCAATTCGAATTCCTGCCCTTTCTCCTAGGACATAAAATCTGTTCTTTCCTCTCATAGCAATCCTAGAGCTTCATAGCCAGCCATTCTCTGTCCATTCCCCATCAACCTCCGGGGTGGGGTGGGCATAAAGAATAAAAGCAGGCACTCACCAGAGGAGATGGTGAGCACAGCAAGGAACAGGCAGATCTTGGGTCCCAAGAGCAGCATATCTGGTAGGGGGTAGCACACAGAGCAGAGAGCATGAGGCTGGGGGCAGTGGGGAGCTGGAGGTGGGGGGGTGGGGGAGCCCAATGGCATCTCAGTTCCAAGGGTGAACACACTGGGAACCAGTCCCTTTGTCTTGCCAGGAGTTCACTTGGTTTCCCCTTATGACCCAAACTCCCTCATTTTGTTCTCCTCTCTCTCCCAACATCTAGTTCTCTCTTAGGTTCTGTTCTTGGGCAGCCTGCCATCTTCTCCCTCTCATTACTCATGCGCCAAATCAGAGGAATTTTTATAATATGCTTTAGATTCTCAATGCTCTGGACCCATCATGTCTAATCTTACTTTACTTTTTGATGGCTGTGGCTTGTTTAGCTCCTCCGCCAATCTGGGTGTCTTCTCTCATTGGAATCTCGTGGATCTGGGGATCTCGTGGGGATGGGGCGGGGGTCAACTAAATTATAAGTTCAGTGACATTTCCCACTAGTCCTAACCCGACACATACACTACCTCCCTCTATCTCTCTAAGGTTTCTATCTCCTGCCCCTCTTGGTGCCTTCTGGCCTTTGCGTTCCATGGGTCATTGGGAGGGGATTTCTCCATTCTAAAGGCACCGAGTTTGCCCCTGTCCCACCTCTCTCCCCACTCCCACACATGCTCCATCTATCTGGGGGTTTAAACAATCAAACAACTCACTGTCCACGGTGCTCTGCTCTGCCCACCAAGTTCTTTGGCTGCTGAATCTGTCTCTCTCCTTCTCGCGCTGTTCCTCCTGTGGCTGGAGCGTGAGATGAACAGGGCCACTCCCTGGAACGGACTTCAAATTTGGCCTCATCTGAAGCCTGGAGGGCGTGAGAGAAGCCAGAGGAGAGGAGGAGAGTGCAGTGCTACAGTGAGGAGGGAACGAGAAGGGGGACAGGGATTGGCACTTGCTCACACCCTCATTCCAAAGGTTATGACCACAGTGTTGAGAGACACTGCTGCTCCCTAGAACGCTTGGCCCGAGATCCTGCATGCTTTCTGCAGTCGGCCCATTTTCCCTCTCCATCTGGCCACAGCCCTCGGCTTTGTTCCTTCGATTCTTTCTTACCTAAATAATCCCATCGCATCCTGAGTGGTCACTGCACGTCCTGAGACTCTGTTTCTATCCATCCGGCTATTTGAATCATTCCTCCATCTCCCTTTCTTACTTGCTTTCTTTCTTTTTCTATGTTCATCTCTTCAACACCAACACATCTCTTTGGATCCCTGTCTCTTCTTTGCCTCTTTTTGGACCCACAAATTTAGAATACTCTCTCTCTCTCTCTCTCTGAATCCTATTTGTTCTCCTGTCCAAGCAAACATGACACAGCTTGAGTTTTTCCAAGAAGAGAGCCGGCCACCTCAAAGTTAGGGGGAAATGGAAAGGCGTGGAGCCCTTTTAGATGTCTTTTCAGTCACGGTGGTGGTCCGCGAAAAGGGATGTCAGTCTTATTCTAGCTTTCATCCTTGGGTACGCTGATGCTGCCCAGCTTGGGTTCTTGTATCTTAAAGACAATATGCTATCTAAAGCCCAACAAAAATTGAAGCCAAGTTCATTCTGCTTGCTTTGTTTTCTGTGTCCAGAAGTTTCAAGGACTTTGAATTTCCTTGTATTCCTAGTGACCCTAGGGAATGGGACACTAGAGCATCCCCACTGCCAAGGGGACCACTTGAGTTATAGAGACTCTCAAGTTTAGGAATGATTGACTTCATGTGTATAAATATCAAAGCACCTGTAAGTTCCATTCAGCTATATTGTATTTCTCCTTAAAGAACCTGGTGGAAAGGAGCCCGGGTGGTGTATTAGGTTACACACTGGACTGCTAACCAGGTCATCAGTTCAAAACCACTAGGTATTCCATGGAAGAAAGAGGAGGCTGTCTACTCCCATAAAGTGTTACCATCTTGACCGTGGCTGGGGTGCGGTGGGGGTGGGGGGTATAAAAAGAAAGCATTCTAAAATTGATAGTGGTAATGATTGGACAATTCTTCTTGATATGATTGAACTATTGAATTGTGTGACATGTGGATTAAGTGCCGATAAAACCATTTAAAGAAAAAAGAGTGTCCATCTCAAAAAGCTATAGCAGCAGTTCCACTCCGCTCTATTGAGTCTCTATGAGTCAGAATCGCCTCGAAGGCAGGGAGCTTTGAGTAAGTATGGAGCTTGAGTGTCACAAACAGTTTAGAGTTATCAGCATCTCTGCGGAAGAAAGGACTGGTGAACTGCTGCCGCAAAATGATAGCCAAGAAAGCATTGTGGAGAAGCATATGGATTCACCGTGCCTTGGGGGTGGACTGGATGGCTAACCATGGCAACAGTACTGAGCTAAAGCAGATTGCGTTAATAAATTGTAGGTAGGAAGAAAAAAAAAGAAAGAGGGGAAGGAAGGAAGGGAGGAAGAAAAGGAAGCTAGTTGGGAAGAAGGGATCACAACAGACAAATGAATCAGTAAATACCACCTAAGCAGCTCTGTCCCTCAAAGCACTAAACCCCAGCTGTGAGATACGTGGATTCTGCTTCCTCCCTAGAACAAAGCTGCATACAAAACCTAGCTTTTCTCCCATCTGCTCCACTGTGAGAGGGCAAAGACTGGACAACAGATGTGATGCTCCTCGGGAGAGAATCAGGGACAGACAAGGCAACGACTGGGGGTGAGGAGAGGGCAGGAGAAACACAGCAGATGCAAAGCAGAGTGAAAGCGGGACATAGAATAGAGCCTAGAGCAACAATCATGTTTTCCATGAAACTCAGACAGATGGAGAAACTGAACTCAGGCCAATCACTTGGCAGGGAGAGCCATGATCTCAACTGTACTGGCCTAGCTAGAACTAGGAAAGCCTCCCCAGACAGTAGGAGGGGCCTCTCCTGGGGTCGGAGGAGGGGCGGTGGATGTTTGGGCAATGGAAATGGGAACAAGATGTTCAGAGAAAGACAGGCCGGAGAGGGCAGGCAGGGACCAGCACCTAAGAAAAGGAGAGGAGTAAGGCAAGCATGGACAAAAGGATGGAAACAACCACGCATTGTCCTTGGCTCCGTGGACTTTCAAGAGAACAGCTTGTTTCACGGTGCTTAACAAGAGTGAAGTGCCATTGATTTGACTCATAATGACCCTGGAAGACAGAGTAGAACTGTGCCGCGGCAGTTTCTAGGTTGTACTCTTTTTTTAAATTATTATTGATAAAAATATTTTTAAATCATTCTTATTGGGGGCTCTTACAGCGCTTATAACATTCCATACATTGATTGTATCAAGGATATTTGTACGTACATTGCCATCATCATTTCCAAAACCTTTTCTACTTGAGCCCTTGGTATCAGCTCCTCTTTTTCCCCTCCCTACCCACCCTCCTGCCCTCGTGAATCCTTAATCAATTATATATTGTTATTATTATTATTTCATATCTTACACTGTCCATTGTCTCCCTTCACCCACAT